TCTTATATTCTTCAGACAGGTGTTGTAAACCTGCAACGATTGGGTAATTTGATCATGTTTGTTTATATAACTTCCAATTCTCAACTGAGTTATCTCCTTAAAACAATTTTGACGGCGGTGGAACCATAGGCGTACGGGCTCGATGACAGTTAGGGGGGCAGAACCCGAAATGCCCGAAAAAATTTCGGGTGTACAGACAGTGGCGCCAATCTTCCTCGAGAGGCGAAGAAGCAGAGAGCTCCCCCTGTATTGTACCCCCTCCCCCCCCCCCCCCCCAAGAAAATTCTTGAATATTTGACGGCTGCAAACATAATTTTCTGCTATTTCGGCCAGTCAACAAAGCAACTTCAAAGTGGTCTAATATAGCCTAATTAAGATGGCTGACTCGAATTCCAATCAAAAGATCAATCGTTTACAGTCCACGGAGACGGGACCGTTTGGAGAAAATTTTGAAAATTTAACAGCCGCATACGCGTTTTCCTGCTATTCCAGTCTGTGCATACAGCAACTTCAATTTGGTCCAATATAGCCTACCTGGCTGACCCGAATTCCAAACAACCAATCAATCGTCGCGGGGTATGGGGAGTCACCCTCGGGGCCTAACCACCGCAAATGCGTTTTCGGCTATTCTAGCCCGTGTAAGCAACTCCAAAAGTAGTCAATGGTTTTGTAACCGAAATCCCATTCTGAATTCCAACCATCCAATCAGAACGTTGCAGCTGCATTCGCAAATAATAATCGCACAAAGTAGAGTGGCTCCAGACAAAATGTTTTAATCCATAGTCAACTCAGTACAAATTTGTGGTATTCAATTAAAAGAAAAGTAAAATTAGTGTTTTATTAGGGCTCAATGACAGTTAGGGAAGAAAAACTAGAAATGCTCGAAAAAATTTCAGGTTTACAGACAGCGGCGCCGGTTTTCTTCGAGAAGTGAAGCAGCAGAACTGACCTTTTATGGACCCCCGAAGAAAATTTTGGAATATTTGACGGCCGCAAACGCGTTTTACTGCTATTCCAGCCCGTAAAATTAATGTTTTATTAGATTTCGGGCACTTTATTTTGCCAAGTAGATGAAATAAAACAATTTTATTCACTTTACCCTTCTGCCCGAAAAGTCAGCTTGCCCGAAATTAGGGGGGCAGCTGCCCCCCCCCCCCCCTGCCCCCCTGGCTCGTACGCCTATGGGTGGAACATTGACAACTGGACCACGTTGATCATTATTTTCCCCCTTCGACAGGATTATCCGATTCTGCCATTTTAGAGGATACTATCACTACTGAACATACAAATATGCAGAAATAGAACGGCGGAAAAAATATTGAATGACGTCAGACTTTCAGAAATGTCAACACGCTTCTCGAACATTCGCCGGTAGTCGAATACGACTAAACGACGCTCACACAGATAAATAACGACAACTATGTGTTTAAAATGTATCTTACTGCAATCAGAAATAGTTGATAACCAGCCACCATGTTTCGTTATGCCATTGTAGTAGTCAGAAAGGTTGTGAGCCCATTTGAGGCGCGGACAGCAGAATAGCACAAGTCAGATAGAAGCCATGACAATACTTTATTAACCACGTGCCCTATCAGTTGCGTACAAAGTTACATAGACCTACAGAAAAGAACGTCTATGGCGAGGGGCGAGGATCGGTCCACGGCAATGGATATTCTCTCTGGTGAGACGTCGGTGCACTGTATCGGTACTGATGGGTCTTGCGTATCTTCCCCTTGTCTGATGTGCTGTCTCAGATGCCTGTGTGCAGGGATTCTGCACGTGCTGTTGCACAACATGGCGGTCTTGTCGCCTTGTGGTAACCCTTGGTCTACCAGTTCGGGGGCGATTATCCGTGATGTTGATGACCCGAAAGCGTTGCTGAAGCCTGTAGATGGTCCGAACATTGACCTGGAAGTGATTGGCAACGACTTGGGCAGTGTGGCCAGCGTCGAGTCTTCCAAGCGGCGAGTTTCTCTGAGCTGTCGTGAGTCGTGGCATGCTGCTGAAGTTGTATTGTGAATGAATCAACCAGGTATGGGGGTGTATTTTATAGGGCCGATCCCGGTGAACAGAACGTGCATCATGAGTTACATGAAAATCATGGAGAACACATTACCATCTCAGAAGCCAGGTTGCGTTTTTGAGAACATTTCCTGGGTTCAATTCTGTATTTGGGAAGGAGCCTTATTGCTCAGGTAAAGTTGGAGATGTGGTCACAAATATACAATAAAACATTTGGCAAGTTTTATGCAATGCGTCTATTCAGAGTAACATACCAACCTGACGTTTCTTTTGCTGATTAGTATAGTTAAAATATAGATAATGCAAACAGAATATGCTAAAAATTTCAAATTGTTTCACTCTGAACCGAGAAAATTAGAGTTTCCATTTTAGTCTGGAACGTCATTACTAATTTTGGTGCGATTATCCAATTCTGCGTTAAATTATCCATCACAAAATGTATTCAAATCCATTAAATATCGTAGGCTAACGAGAGTTTATTATGGTCTGGATAAGTTAATGTCTAATTAATAATTTTGATAACATTTGAAGCCTAAAGAAATACCTGCAATAGGCAGATTTAGCTCTTGCATAATGCATGTTTAAGATCCACCGCCTGATATGTCGACAATTGTGATAATGTACGTCAAAAAATAAATACTGCATGTTTATCTTCCTTCCTGTGTCGTTTTACCGCTTTACAGGAAGTGCTGCTTACACCAATAAGTTTATGAATATTTTTTAATATTATCAAATCACATATGAATTAATCCAATTCCGTAGTTGTTTAAATTAAATATTTGAAAAAAAAATCGAAATTAATACATTGCTCAATGATATAAGGGTAAGTTCAAGGGCGTTTGAAATTTCGGAAGGAGCGAGAGATGGGGTTTAACGTCCACTCGACACAAACTAGGTCATTTCGGGACCAACCCGGAGAGAAAATCCACGAGGTTGGACAGGCGACCCCACTCCTTGCCACGTACAACGGGGGATTCGAAACCACGCCAGTTGACTTAATGATAGACCTTATGATACAGCGCGCATGTTCTAACCATTCGGCAATCCACCCACCCTAGGGAGGGAGACGCGTTAAAGACAACAATGTTTACGTTTATAAAACGGTGAGATGTTTTATTACTAAACGGAATAAGGCATACTTGTGTGTATGGTGATGAATGTGAAACCTTTACAAATCGATAGAGCGTTCCAGTAAAAGTTATCAATTTAACGATTATTCGCGTAGCTTGTCTAAAGATATGGAGGTTCATTTTCGAAATGGCGGCGCTGAAGCACACTGTACCAAAGACACGGAAATATCACACTACATAAAAACAGGAGGGCAAATTGAATATCTACGGCTCGCCTAATGAATTATAGAAGCCTATTGCGGCCATTTCATAATCTCGACTTGTCGTCGCGAAAACGGGAGGAAGCGAGAAGTCGAGTGCGAGAACGCGTGGAAACAGGGCAAGAATGCAAGAGATCTCGCCTCCTCGCGTTCTCGACTTTGAAAATCCTCCCGTTCTAGCACTCTCGTCCTCGACTTCTCGCTCCCCCGCCTTCTCGCCTTTGAAGATCCACGACTTCTTGCTCCCACGCCTTCTCGCCTTTAAGTATTTTCCCGTGTTCTCGCACTCTCGACTTCTCGCTCCCACGCGTTCTCGCCTCGGAAGTGCAATGTATGCGCATGTCCACTGACTACCGCATCGGCATTTGTATTTGGACATGGATTAAAATAGACGGAAACGTTTGGGGTTCTAGAAAGTTTAATAGTCCTAACCAATTTTAAAGTCTAATTGCACAGATAGTATAGTATTTTGTGCTCATTAACCCTATAACAATTCAGAGTTGATCGTTAATTTTTTTTGGAGTTATTGTCCTTGCCATTGACATTTTGATTGTTGGTGGCTGTTCCCTGGCAACTTACCCTAGTCAATATGGGAGACGATCTTATTCTTTCTTTAATATAGTGCGATGCCTTTGGGAGGTATTTTTCAGGTCGGAAATTTTTAAGTAAATCTAAAATAAGGACTGGGAAAGAGCATTAGGTTGATTAAAATGCACTGATTTACAACAAGGACAGGGGGAAACCACGCTGGAAAATCCCAGGGCACTTTCTCGGCCAACAACAGGATCGATCCCATACCACCTGGTTATTGAGCCAGGGCCTCATGCACTGGGTCACCGTGGTTAACAACAGTATTTTATACGATACGTGGACCTGTATGCAAATAATGTATAATATTCTAAAAGTATATCCACCCGTTTGTATTTAGTTTGATATATAGGCGACTGTTTCTGATGACACTGGATATTGTGAGAGACTGTTCCAGATGGCTTAATCTATCGGATTAAGGTTCACGGACCGCGGTGTCCATTGAATCAGATGGGTTACGCAATCTGGAACAGTCTCCCTAAAAAATGTTATTTGACGTTTGAGTATATTGGGGGGTTGGATGGCTGAATGGCGTGGTTTCGATTTCCCGGTTGTACGTGACAAGGAGTAGGGTCGCCTGTCCAACCTTGTGGGGTTTCTCCGGGTCCTCCGGTTTCCTCCCACTACCAAAGATCCCTACGCGCAAACGAATTATGTAAATAAAATTAAACCATATGTTAGTCCCGAAATGACGTAGTTTGTGTTGAGTGGACGTTAAACCCCATGTCTCTCTCTCTCTCTCTCTCTCTCTCTCTCTCTCTCTCTCTCTCGTTTGAGTATATTTTATACCAACGTTACAGAAGGAAAAGTAGGCTATCGGAACATTAATCTAGGCTAAAGTATTTCAGAAATATACAACCCTTGATGACAACACGTGTGACGCGTTCAAGTAATTTCAGTAGTCTTATTAAGGGGAGACAAGTTATCTTTAACATTCTGAAGTAGACCACAATTAATTAGTGACACTAACCATCTAATGTGGAGGGAAACGAAGGCATGTTCTTTGATAGTAAACCAAAACGCCAGAAAAGGGAATTAACTCAGTACACAGACAAACAAGCAAAATCGTAGTCTTATTTATTAAAAACTGTTTTTAAAAATATCGATAAAAACACATTTATTTATTATAAAATTAAATATTTATAACGTATTGTATTTGTAACACTGTATTTAAATGTTTTTTCTCGTTTATAAAATTGATGTGCTTTGAATGGTCGTCTATGAATGACCACCCATGGTAAAGTTGAATATGATGAGCTCTTGGTGTTCTGGAACATAAGAACTGGCGCCTAGAACAAACAAAAATGTCTTATCAGTGTGCAACGTTTTAATTAATCCATTTAATCTCTATCTATCTATATATTTTCTTTTGTATTAAATCTAAAAACGTATAGAACAATGGCCGCTTAAAGGAGCGTTCGCGCTTTAGATAACTTCACACCGGTCGGTAAAAAATATTGACTTGACCACATTGTTATATCGGATTGTAGCCCATGCTAAAGTCGAGACGTGTGTGTGTGTGGGGGGGGGGGGGAGCCTGCGGGGTTATTGGGGAAAGGTCATTTGGATCAAAGGATTAGTGTTGTCCTGAACGTTAGACCAATAGAAAATCATACATTTTACCGATAGTCTTCGGTATTCTCACTAAGTGTACTGCTGTTGGATATAATAAAGTAATAAAGTATTAAAAGTATAAGTCTAGCTTTTTTACCTAATTGTAGCTGATTGTAATCAGAATCCAATATTTCCCAATATGTTTTATCCAGTGTCCAATTTCCAGTTAATTCATTGATTGTACTGATAAAATACCCCCATTGAGAATGATAATTTGCGCTGAATCTGGCGAAAACAAAAAAAATCCGGATTATTATCAGAAACTTTTGATTGGTTTATATTGTGAATATTTGCGGCATTTCGTTCCGTGCTACTGTTAGTAAATATTTTTAAAGAATGAAACGTTTGACTTTTTCCTGGACTTTAACGTCAGGGTAGAAATGATAAGTAGCTGGTTTTGAATGGAAACATTTTAAATTATGCCTTGATCTAAATTTCTATTATTAACTTTTCCAAAGATTTATCACAGTCCGTATACACTACATGGAATAATCAAACATTTATAATATTATTTTACCTAAAATGTGGATTTACTTTAGCTGCTGATTCAAGGTGTCTGATGAGTGCCCCCTGTGAAGTATTTCTAAGTGTTACGTTGTACTCAAAGAATTCTGGTCTCAAGTAGTTTTGAACAATCAGATGAACGTCGATTATGTTTGGACAATCACATAGACCTTTGCTGAAATTGAAGAAGTCAATAATTGATTTGGAGTACTACAAGTAATATACATCGCCGTTCTTTTTAATTAGTCAGACTCTGTATAGAGAAGTGAGAGATGTTGAACCTTTGACAATTAAGAGACCATCATGAAGTACATGAAGATTTTGTAATACACCCATATCTTGTCGTCCAACTCCTTGTAGTCCCCGTTAGAAGTCTGGGGTTTTGAGTGTTCTTTCCAAACTTCCTTTGTTTATTCAACTCCTCATAGATACGAATCCTATCGAAATTTAGTGTTGCGCCTTAATTATTCGCGAGTTATCTACAGTCTGATTTTTAAAAGATGGTGTTCCACACATAGTCTGGATGCGTTGTCAACATTTGAGAATAATAGATCATTGGCAGGATTATCCGGTCTTTTAAATTATCATAAACAAAGTCCGGGGGAGGTAACTAGTCCCAAAACAAGATGTTGACGCCCATGAAATTAATTCAAGAATGTCATTTAAAAAAATCGATTTGATTGCAATTCCAGTTCAATATCCAACACTCTTATTTTTTTTCTTGTAAAATTTCCCTCTTCATGGGCCATAATATATGTTTTTTTTAAAATTAATCCTAATTCGTCGTCACGATTCATGTTTGTTTATATTAATGCGAGAATTATGGGATTTATTGCGAGAAGGGGCGCAACTCTTACTTGACTCGGCCAGAAGATACTGGATAATCAATCACATTAAAAACCAAACTCTCAATTACGCATGGGCAATGGACTTTTCGACAGATATTGACAACATTCGGCAAATTTCGACAGATTCTACGCATCTAATCTCGGCTGTATGACGAATTCCGCCATATTGGAACTATTTTAAAAGTCCCGGATGAAAAATGACTGCGCCCATGGAGATTTCTGTGGAGAGTGTATTATATCAACAAATGTCAAGTTTGGCATTGGGTTTGGGGAATTACCAGGGAATTATATCAAACCAGCAGCCTTGAGACAATATCTCTGCTCGTTTAGTTATATACACTCGACAAAAGACTCCATTTTGGGACATTTTTGTAAAAGCGGCACGTTTTCCTGTTAAAGTAAACCGGTAGCCGCATCGCAAAAGTATGGGCGTAGGTACATATCAATTACTATCATACAGCCGAGGTTAGATGTAGGGTACCGGAATCTGCCGAGGTTTGCCGAGTGATATTGACAACGGTCCCCGACCCTCCGTATGTTAAAGACTAGGGGGTTCTGGGTGACCGAGACTAGTACTGAACAGTGGCAAATTATAGTGCATTATTTATAGTGCCATTGTCCTTGTCATCTAAACTTATACTTACTCTTAGGGTCAGATTCATGTTTAGACTACTTCAAACTTTCTGGGATGATTTAACAAGTAATAAAGTTGAACGTTTGGTTTGGAAATAAAAGAGTCGAGCAACAATTATTTTCAGAGTTATAGCCATTTTTATCGAAAGGTTAAAGTTAAATTGGTATGCAAACAATGAACAAGGCATTTAAATAGCTGAAGATGGGGGAAATTAATTTTCAGAAAAACACGATTGAAGATAAATGAAGGAAATTAACCAAGACATTACTAAATTGCAACTAAAAACTAAAATGTCCTTTTTGAAGACAAATACGCTGTAAACTCAAAATGTTTAGTCGCTCTCGAAATACGAGCTTTATTAAAAAGTTTTAAGTGGTCATATGGATGATGTGCTTCTATAGATATACCATATTTACCATACAGGTTAATATTTACCGTGCATCTTGATATTAAAATATTTTGTAATAACACCTAAATATAAACCGGTAAATGTATAGATCATCGTTTGCAAAAGCTCTACAAACATTATATAACCTCGTCAAAATGTATTTAGTTTGATGAGTGGCGGGTTATGATGACCTGAAATGTCTTACATACCTCTGTATGCGATTATTCGTAAATTTGTATAACAAAAAAAAAACTTTATTCCCAATGACCGGTTTTCAAATACGAAATCAGAAATATATTTGTTTTAAAATATTGTGGCCCAAGCAATTTCTAAATAGAACATCTAACATGGCTAATAAAAGTTACATTAATCTGTTTCTGCTGAAACATATCGTCATCCGTGTATGTGTCTTAGACAAATAAAGTAATATAAATTATGTTATCTTTCTTGTACAAGCTCGCCAGATTTGTTATGTGTTTATTTTGGGACCAGGAACAGGTACTGGTTTCCAAGCGTCACTCGACTTCGATATGTGATATGACGTCAGTATGGCTGCAATGACTTTATATTCCGTTCCTGGTCCATAATACTAAACTCAAAACAAAACCGACAAGACAAACTACATAAACATTGCAAGAAATAAACAACAAATACCAAATCAAGTCAATGGATTCTGTGTTATTTGTTTTTTTTATATATATACCCGGATATTTTTCAATACATACATTAAAATGCATTCCCAAGAAAGTATCTATAGAGATAGGTATTTCCAATAAAAGTATTGCAATGCAATGTTGATATATATATGGAAAGTTGGGACACTCAATCTTAATACTGGGCATGAATGCAAGGGTATCACAACTTGTAGATTGTCGGATATTATTGTCTACTGGAGAGACGTATAGCGCCCCATAGTGGCCACTAAGGCAGTGGACACACTAGCCGAATCAATCGGCGCAGAATTGCGGTCGAAAGGTTCGGCCGAATGTGTGGACACAATAGGCGAATCCTTCGCCCGATTCACCAGTCACAAGATTAAACATTTCAGCGACCATGGCTTCAAACAATCACGTGACTCCTCGATGTGAGTGGTGATTGGTTAATGGATTCTACAATCGGGCGAATGCGAATGAAAATTCGGCCGAATCATTCGGCTAGTGTATCCACCGCTTGGCTGGTTTCTGCGACAGTCAAGCCACGTGACAATGATCCTTAAAATTAAATTTTACGTCTTTGGGTAGTGGCTTACAATTAGAATGTTTTTCCAGGGATTCGAAACAAACCTTTGATAGATGAATTATATTTTAGTCCAAATATAACATTAAATCACATAGATTGTACATGAGAAAGCATCTTTTAAACACTACATCTTACTTGTGACTTTAATTCTGTTTTCAAATTGAAGAACATAAGAATGTCTGAAAAGTATTATTTCTGTTAAAATAAAATAGCAAAATTCTTACCATTCGGATGAACCTGTGGGTTTACTAGGCATATGTTCCCCACGTTTCTGATTACAACCAAGAACTGCAGAGGCAATGCACACAACCAACAAAATATGTGTTCCTTCCATCGTGATTTCGATTAACAACTATACAGTGTTGATAGATCAATACTGCTAGGGTGATACCGCAGAGACAAGTGTATTATGATCCTGATCACTTCTGTTTATATATACGCAATACCTTGTTTACACAGCCCTTCCTTTCTGTAGGTCCGGTTCACCTGGTTATAAATAGGATATAAAAATAGTCGCAGTATTTACAATGTGACCTTTCTTTTTATATGAATATGAATACTATGTATTATAAATTTAAACCAGCGGCTGTCAGGCAGGATACGCCCACATTTTCGAGAAATGGATAGAGAACAAGCTAAAAAGAAAGTGATTTTTCCTACAAACAAGGGCCATAATTCAGGAAATTAGAATCAAATATTGAAAGGAACCGATTTCTTTGTGTTATAAACTTACATTTCAAGTTTCAACAAAATTGGATAAAAATTGTGACCTCTATAGGGTCCACAACCTTAATATACCATATTTTTACGCTATTTGAGAACGAACGGTGGCCATATTGTCTGTCAATTTTGGGCCGGATTTCACGAAATTCGAACTCAGCTGTCCTTAGGGTGTAACGGTGATATAATAATACGGTTTTTTAAATCGGATAAAAATTATGACCTCTATAGGGTCCACAAGCTAAAAACGCGATTTTTAGCTTGTGGACCCTATAGAGGTCACAATTTTTATCCGATTTTGTTGAAACTTGAAATATAAGTTTATAACCGAAAGATCTCGCTTCCTTTCGGTATTTGCGCATATCGGACCGTAACTTCCTGAATTATGGCCTCTGATTGTACGAAAAATCGCGTTTTTAGCTTGTGGACCCTATAGAGGTCATAATTTTTATCCGATTTAAAAAACCGTATTATTATATCACCGTTACACCCTAAGGACAGCTGAGTTCGAATTTCGTGAAATCCGGCCCAAAATTGACAGACAATATGGCCACCGTTCGTTCTCAAATAGCGTAAAAATATGGTATATTAAGGTTGTGGACCCTATAGAGGTCACAATTTTTATCCAATTTTGTTGAAACTTGAAATGTAAGTTTATAACACAAAGAAATCGGTTCCTTTCAATATTTGATTCTAATTTCCTGAATTATGGCCCTTGTTTGTAGGAAAAATCACTTTCTTTTTAGCTTGTGGACCTGTATGCAAATAATGTATAATATTCTAAAAGTATATCCACCCGTTTGTATTTAGTTTGATAGGCGACTGTTTCTGATGACACTGGATATTGTGAGAGACTGTTCCAGATGGCTTAATCTATCGGATTAAGGTTCACGGACCGCGGTGTCCATTGAATCAGATGGGTTACGCAATCTGGAACAGTCTCCCTAAAAAATGTTATTTGACGTTTGAGTATATTGGGGGGTTGGATGGCTGAATGGCGTGGTTTCGATTTCCCGGTTGTACGTGACAAGGAGTAGGGTCGCCTGTCCAACCTTGTGGGGTTTCTCCGGGTCCTCCGGTTTCCTCCCACTACCAAAGATCCCTACGCGCAAACGAATTATGTAAATAAAATTAAACCATATGTTAGTCCCGAAATGACGTAGTTTGTGTTGAGTGGACGTTAAACCCCATGTCTCTCTCTCTCTCTCTTTCTCTCTCTCGTTTGTGTATATTTTATACCAACGTTACAGAAGGAAAAGTAGGCTATCGGAACATTAATCTAGGCTAAAGTATTTCAGAAATATACAACCCTTGATGACAACACGTGTGACGCGTTCAAGTAATTTCAGTAGTCTTATTAAGGGGAGACAAGTTATCTTTAACATTCTGAAGTAGACCACAATTAATTAGTGACACTAACCATCTAATGTGGAGGGAAACGAAGGCATGTTCTTTGATAGTAAACCAAAACGCCAGAAAAGGGAATTAACTCAGTACACAGACAAACAAGCAAAATCGTAGTCTTATTTATTAAAAACTGTTTTTAAAAATATCGATAAAAACACATTTATTTATTATAAAATTAAATATTTATAACGTATTGTATTTGTAACACTGTATTTAAATGTTTTTTCTCGTTTATAAAATTGATGTGCTTTGAATGGTCGTCTATGAATGACCACCCATGGTAAAGTTGAATATGATGAGCTCTTGGTGTTCTGGAACATAAGAACTGGCGCCTAGAACAAACAAAAATGTCTTATCAGTGTGCAACGTTTTAATTAATCCATTTAATCTCTATCTATCTATATATTTTTTTTTGTATTAAATCTAAAAACGTATAGAACAATGGCCGCTTAAAGGAGCGTTCGCGCTTTAGATAACTTCACACCGGTCGGTAAAAAATATTGACTTGACCACATTGTTATATCGGATTGTAGCCCATGCTAAAGTCGAGACGTGTGTGGGGGGGGGGAGCCTGCGGGGTTATTGGGGAAAGGTCATTTGGATCAAAGGATTAGTGTTGTCCTGAACGTTAGACCAATAGAAAATCATACATTTTACCGATAGTCTTCGGTATTCTCACTAAGTGTACTGCTGTTGGATATAATAAAGTAATAAAGTATTAAAAGTATAAGTCTAGCTTTTTTACCTAATTGTAGCTGATTGTAATCAGAATCCAATATTTCCCAATATGTTTTATCCAGTGTCCAATTTCCAGTTAATTCATTGATTGTGCTGATAAAATACCCCCATTGAGAATGATAATTTGCGCTGAATCTGGTGAAAACAAAAAAAACCCGGATTATTATCAGAAACTTTTGATTGGTTTATATTGTGAATATTTGCGGCATTTCGTTCCGTGCTACTGTTTGTAAATATTTTTAAAGAATGAAACGTTTGACTTTTTCCTGGACTTTAACGTCAGGGTAGAAATGATAAGTAGCTGGTTTTGAATGGAAACATTTTAAATTATGCCTTGATCTAAATTTCTATTATTAACTTTTCCAAAGATTTATCACAGTCCGTATACACTACATGGAATAATCAAACATTTATAATATTATTTTACCTAAAATGTGGATTTACTTTAGCTGCTGATTCAAGGTGTCTGATGAGTGCCCCCTGTGTAGTATTTCTAAGTGTTACGTTGTACTCAAAGAATTCTGGTCTCAAGTAGTTTTGAACAATCAGATGAACGTCGATTATGTTTGGACAATCACATAGACCTTTGCTGAAATTGAAGAAGTCAATAATTGATTTGGAGTACTACAAGTATACAATATACATGGCCGTTCTTTTTAATTAGTCAGACTCTGTATAGAGAAGTGAGAGATGTTGAAACTTTGACAATTAAGAGACCATCATGAAGTACATGTAGATTTTGTAATACACCCATATCTTGTCGTCCAACTCCTTGTAGTCCCCGTTAGAAGTCTGGGGTTTTGAGTGTTCTTTCCAAACTTCCTTTGTTTATTCAACTCCTCATAGATACGAATCCTATCGAAATTTAGTGTTGCGCATTAATTATTCGCGAGTTATCTACAGTCTGATTTTTAAAAGATGGTGTTCCACACATAGTCTGGATGCGTTGTCAACATTTGAGAATAATAGATCATTGGCAGGATTATCCGGTCTTTTAAATTATCATAAACAAAGTCCGGGGGAGGTAACTAGTCCCAAAACAAGATGTTGACGCCCATGAAATTAATTCAAGAATGTCATTTAAAAAAATCGATTTGATTGCAATTCCAGTTCAATATCCAACACTCATATTTTTTTTTCTTGTAAAATTTCCCTCTTCATGGGCCATAATATATGTTTTTTTTTAAATTAATCCTAATTCGTCGTCACGATTCATGTTTGTTTATATTAATGCGAGAATTATGGGATTTATTGCCAGAAGGGGCGCAACTCTTACTTGACTCGGCCAGAAGATACAGGATAATCAATCACATTAAAAACCAAACTCTCAATTACGCATGGGCAATGGACTTTTCGACAGATATTGACAACATTCGGCAAATTTCGACAGATTCTACGCATCTAATCTCGGCTGTATGACGAATTCCGCCATATTGGAACTATTTTAAAAGTCCCGGATGAAAAATGACTGCGCCCATGGAGATTTCTGTGGAGAGTGTATTATATCAACAAATGTCAAGTTTGGCATTGGGTTTGGGGAATTACCAGGGAATTATATCAAACCAGCAGCCTTAAGACAATATCTCTGCTCGTTTAGTTATATACACTCGACAAAAGACGCCATTTTGGGACATTTTTGTAAAAGCGGCACGTTTTCCTGTTAAAGTAAACCGGTAGCCGCATCGCAAATGTATGGGCGTAGGTACATATCAATTACTATCATACAGCCGAGGTTAGATGTAGGGTACCGGAATCTGCCGAGGTTTGCCGAGTGATATTGACAACGGTCCCCGACCCTCCGTATGTTAAAGACTAGGGGGTTCTGGGTGACCGAGACTAGTACTGAACAGTGGCAAATTATAGTGCATTATTTATAGTGCCATTGTCCTTGTCATCTAAACTTATACTTACTCTTAGGGTCAGATTCATGTTTAGACTACTTCAAACTTTCTGGGATGATTTAACAAGTAATAAAGTTGAACGTTTGGTTTGGAAATAAAAGAGTCGAGCAACAATTATTTTCAGAGTTATAGCCATTTTTATCGAAAGGTTAAAGTTAAATTGGTATGCAAACAATGAACAAGGCATTTAAATAGCTGAAGATGGGGGAAATTAATTTTCAGAAAAACACGATTGAAGATAAATGAAGGAAATTAACCAAGACATTACTAAATTGCAACTAAAAACTAAAATGTCCTTTTTGAAGACAAATACGCTGTAAACTCAAAATGTTTAGTCGCTCTCGAAATACGAGCTTTATTAAAAAATTTTAAGTGGTCATATGGATGATGTGCTTCTATAGATATACCATATTTACCATACAGGTTAATATTTACCATGCATCTTGATATTAAAATATTTTGTAATAACACTTAAATATACTATTCAAAAAAAGTAGGGGATATTTGATTTTTGGGGCATAATACTAAAATATGCAAATGACTACGAAAAAAGTCACTATAGAACCTAACAGAACAAACATTTCCAGTTACATGTGATGCCCAAACGCACCAATAGCTACCGCATGGAATGCAGGTGATGCTTGGAATCATCATGGGGGTCCAACCCAAGATTTGCACTCT